AGGGCGTGTGCGGGGGGCGGGGGGACACGGTCCCGCTCCTGCTCCGCCTCCTCCCAGAGTCCTCTTCTCAGGGCTTCTCACCGACCTGTCTGCGCGGCCGTGCCATGACCTCCTATGGAGGACGGTCCCCCCAGCTGCCCCGTCCCCGCCTCACACTCACACTCACACACACACTCACACACACACACTCACACTCACACTCACTCACACTCACACTCACTCACACTCACTCACACTCACACTCACTCACACTCACTCACACTCACACTCACTCACACTCACTCACACTCACACTCACTCACACTCACTCACACTCACACTCACTCACACTCACTCACACTCACACTCACTCACACTCACTCACACTCACACTCACTCACACTCACTCACACTCACACTCACTCACACTCACTCACACTCACACTCACTCACACTCACTCACACTCACACACACTCACACACACACACACTCACACACTGACACTCATACACTCACACTGACACACACACTAACACTCACATTCACACTTACACGCACACACACTAACCCTCACACTCACACACACACTAACCCTCACACTCACACACACTCACACTCACACACACTCACACACACACACACTCACACACTGACACACTGACACTCATACACTAACACTCACATTCACACTTACACTCACATACACTGACACACACACTCATGCTGACTCACATGCACACTCACTCACTGACACACACACTCACTAACACTCACACACATTAACACTAACACACACACTCACTCACACACACACTGACACACACACTCATGCTGACTCACACGCACAGTCACTGACACTCACATTCACACACTCACACTAACATACACTCACACACACACTCACACGCACACTCACTGACACACTCACACACTCACACTGCGAGGTTGCCCACCTGTGCTCCGCGTTTCCCTGGCCGTGACCACGTGTTGCTGTGCGGCCTGAGCCGGAGGACACACGTTTCCTTTCCTCCCCGCGAGTCTTCCCCACGCGGCTGCCTGTGTGTTTATACCCCGCCCCCCACACACACACACTCTCCCCCTCTCCACTGATTCTCTAAGGCCGTGGAGCGAGCCCGGCCCCCGGCAGCGGGCGTCTGTCCTGCAGCCGACTCACTCCTGGGCGACGCTTCTGGCCCCTGTGGGAGCCTGAGCTCCTCCGATTCCGTGGCCGGGCCTGGACTCGGGCCTGGAAGGCGCGGCATCACCGACCCTGGGACCAGACGGGTCTGTCCTCTGCGGGGAGCCGCCGTCCTCAGGCCCGGAGCCGGGCCCAGGAGCCGGACGGCAGGCAGTTCTCCGACCGGCCTCCCAGCAGGTTCCTCCTCCCAGTTCGCTTCTTTCCGAATCTCCTGGACTCGGAAGCCAGCCCCACGCAGCCCCTCCACGCCCACTTCCCCTGCCCCTCTGCTTTCTGGGAAATGCCTCCATGACTTCCAGGCCTTCGTTTCTGTTCTTGTTCTCGTTGGTGACCGTGTCAGAGCGCACACGGTCCGTCCACGGCGCAGGCTTCCCTCTAACACCCGCGCTCCTGCCTGTCCGCCCGTCTGTCTGCCTGCCTGCCTGTCTGTCTGTCGTTCACGGGAGATTCCTGACACTGGGAGTTGGTCAGCCCCAGAGGAAACGCCTCCTGCCGGTGCCGGAACCAGCACAGGGCCCGCGGCGGGACGGGGCTCCGGGCTGGGGTGCAGTCACTCACCTTCAGCGTCCGGACAGGTGTCCCCATGCACACCCCCCTCCGCACTCTTCCACCCTCTGCAGTCAGCCTCCACCCCCCTTGGGAGGGGCGGGGACAGCCAGCCAGCAGGTCTCGGCTCAGATCCCCTCCCACACCCCAGACCCGGCTCCCCCTTCCCAGCTCCTGGGGCTGTGACAGGCTGGGCTGCCTCTCGGCTCTCCTCCCCCTCCCCGCCTCCCCTCCTCCTCCATCTCCTCCTCCATCTCCTCCTCCTCCTCTATCCCCTCCCCTCCTCCTCCATCTCCTCCTCCTCCATCTCCTCCCCCTCCCCCTTCCCCTCCTCCCCTTCCTCCATCTCCTCCCTTCCACTCCCCCTCCTCCTCCATCTCCTTCCCTCCTGGGGTCTGGCAGGAGACAGACATCAGTCGGAGCCAAGGGACTAAAATGCCAGCCGGGGAGTGAGAGCGGACAACAGGGGGAGAGTGACCGAGTGGCAAGGACAGCGGTGAGGGAGGGGGAAGGGCACGTGCAAAGGGCCTGTGGCGGATGACACATGTCTCTGAGAAGGTGACAGGGCGAGTGGAAGGAAGCGGGGGCCCTGCTGGAGCCTGTCCTGATTGGAGGTGCAGGGGGCAGGGTGGGGTCATGGCTGATGTGAACTTCTGGGGACCCTCCAGCCTCCCATCCTCAATTCCAGAAGGGCCCGCGGGAGGCCGGCAGGGCTTTTTTTTTTTAACATTTTAAAAATATTTCTTTATTGATTTCAGAGAGGAAGGGAGAGAAACATCTATGAGAGAGAATCACGGATCGGCTGCCTCCACACCCCACACTAGGGATCAAGCCCACAATCCGGGCCTGTGCCCTGACCGGGAATCGAACCCTGACCTCCTGGTTCATGGGTTGATGCTCAGCACTGGGCCAGCCGGCCGGGCAGAGGGCAGGGCTCTGGAGAGGCCTCTGTGTGGGTGGGGTCGCCGTAGGAGGCTGCAGCCCACACCCGCTCTGCCCCCAGGAGATGGCCGACTGGTTCAACGCGCTCCGGGCTGCCCGCTTCCACTACCTGCAGGTGGCCTTCCCGGGGGCCAGTGACGCTGACGTGAGTGGCGGCTGCCGCCGTTGCCCCTGGGCTGGTGGGCTGGGGGCTGACCAAGGCCCACATGGACCCCCAGAGGCCCCACCCTGATGCCTGTGACCCCCCCACACTGGTGGCCCCCTGACCTCTGTGGCCCCCTGACCTCTGTGGCCCCCTGAAGTGACCACAGCAGCCCTCCTTTGTTCTGAGGCTCTGCCCCAGCTGCAGGGTGGGGCTGGGGATGGGGGGGACAGCCTGGACAGCAGGGCCTTTCCCCCCCCAGCTGGTGCCGAAGCTGACCAGGAACTACCTGAAGGAGGGCTACATGGAGAAAACTGGGCCCAAGGTGCGTCCATCGGCTCCCAGGCCTCCTCGCTCCGTGATCGGCCTCAGTCATGGGGGAGGGGGGGCCGTGGAGATGGAAGCGTCAGTCATGGGGGTTGGGGGTGGAAGTGGAAGGGCAGCCACACTCCGGCCAGGCCTCCACCTGCCTGTGCATTGCTAGCGGGTCATCTGGGTGTGGATGGCCCGGGCCCCCAAAATGTTTCGCAAGAGCAGGGGCCCCACTGGCCCAGGACCAGGGGGAGGGGACCTCAGGTCAGGCCCCACCTGGGCCCACAGGGAGGGCGAGGCGCCTGCGGGTGGGAGGCGCAGGCTGGGGGCAGTGGAGGGAGGGGCACACAGGAGCAGGAGGGGGCTGAGCTGTTTTTCAGCTGGGGGAAGGGCCGCATCAGGCCAACCCGCCGGCCGCCGGCTCTGACCCACAGCAGACGGAAGGCTTCCGGAGGCGCTGGTTCACCATGGATGACCGGAGGCTCATGTACTTCAAGGACCCCCTGGTAGGGCAGGGCCTCGGCCGGGCAGAGGGACCTGCCTC